GGGGCCGGGGCCCCGGTGGCCCACTGTGTACGGGTGAGGGCGGGGCTCGGCGCGGCCTTGACAACGGGCCGGGCGCCTCGGCCGGAGGCTCGGAGACTACAGTTCCCAGCGGGCTCCGCGCGGCCTGGGCGGGGAGAAGCGCCTCGGCCCAGTGCGCAGGCGCGAGAGCTCCTCGGGTTTATAAGGGAGGTCCCCGGTCCTTCTCGTCCTTTCGCGTCTGCGACGCTTCCCTAGTCGTTTCTTGCTTTCCTGTCTCGTACAGTGGCTTCCTGCGTCCGGAGCTCCGCGCTCTTTGTGGTAAGTGGACCTCACAGTTATTATTCGTGAGCTCTGATCCTTTTTTGCGCTGTTTGTGCGTCGTTTCTGCGGCTAGTTCTAGTCTTCCCTGTGGCTTCTCCAGATCGGATCCCCGTAGGCCATAGGCCCATAGGGGAGATAAGTTAGTCGAAAGAAACTCGTGCCTTCGTGGGCCAGAGGAGCCCTTGGCTGGTGTAAATGATGACTTCACCTTTTTTCCCCATCAGATCGGCAATGCTGATGTCTTAGAACACTTGCCAGTTAGTCCTGACACACCGGCCTCAAGTGACCGGCCGCCCTTGTTTTCCGGCCGTGAGAAGAGAGCCACTGATCCCCTCTTGTTTGGCAGGTTAACATGGCCAGAAGGTACACAGCGACTGTTGGAGGAGGAAGTCACTTCTGGGCGTGTAGGGGAGCCCCGTGTAGACATCTGCAGCCTTGGATCTCCTGACCACGGGGATGAGCATCTGTCTCCTGGATTGTTGTAGAAAACCTTGCTTTGAGGAGCCTCTTGGTTGGCGATGCAGATGGGAAAAGGTGAGGACATAGGATCCTTTAAAAAAACTTTCTCTAGGGCAAGTCCCGGGTTCAGAACTCACAGTGCTGTGGGCCATGTGGGACCTGGCCACTCCGTCAGCTGGCTCTGGATGTCTTTTATGCCACGTACAAGCATCCATCCTTTTACATGCAATTTCATTTCTTTGAGAGGTCCCCATGCCACAGTGCACATTCAGCCTCAGATTACAGGCATTTACCCACGTGCAGGCACGTTCTCGGGTGTCTAAGAGCAAACCGGGAACTTTGCCGTGTGGTCCAGCTGCTGCACCAACTGGAAAATCAAGCTACCCTCTTACAAGATTGCCACTGCTTAACCAGTTTTTTTTCCGAAAGACTAATGTCTGCTCTTTCATGTTTTCCATGGTAATCATGGTAATGTCTTGTTGAAGTCCGATCTCTGCACACTTTGTTGAAAGCTGCCGCCATCTTCTCACTGCAAGGAAAGCCAAATTTTTCTTTAAAAGCCTTGGAGTTACACTACCCTCGTGTAAGTTTCTACTTAGCATAAGCTCTGACGGGAGCTTGTCTTTACTGCCGTCTCTACTGGTGTGTTACGGTAAGAAACACAGCACTTCTGCCATGCTTGACTATTAAATGACCTTGGAGATCGGAAGCAGACCACCCAAATCTTTTTTTTTTTTTAATAATTGTTTATTTACTTATGTTTTAAATTTGACCAGAAAGAGGGAGGAAGTGAGAAAACAAGCCACCAGGTCCAGGACTAGAGCCGCAGTCAGCCATGTGGGAATCCAGCCACGTCCTCCATGCTGCCTGCTGGCCCCATCACCCACATCTTCATTGTTCAGGGCTTCCTGCTGGCGTATATGATGACTGAACTTTTTTCCCCGACAGATCGACCATGTTGATCTAACTTTCCTAAGCCAGTTTCTGTCTGATATGCCAGCTTGAGCGACCGCTTCTGCCCTGGACGTCTAGCTGACTGAAACTCACCTCTCTGTTTTCCCCTCAGGTTTTCTGTTGGCAGAAGCCAGGCCTTAAATGAACCAAGATAAGTTTGTACATGGAAGAGGAAGGGTAAGTCACATCCATATGTCTCCCTTGGACTTTAGACAGGATTTGTGGAGTGGTGGTGGCTGCTTTTCAGCATAGGATCGTGTGGTTTCTCTTTTACCCAAATTTGGCTGATGCAGCTGATGACATAACTTTTTTCCCCATCAGATCGACCCTGTTGATCCAACTCAACTATAAGCCAGTTTTGTCTGATGCTTCAGCCTCAGATAACGTCTGTCCCTGTTTTTTGCTTACCCATAACTTTCTATTTCCATGTGTTTTAGTGGGAATTAGGCTTGCCCCGCAGATTTCCCAGCATTCATACTTCTGTTCACTTTTGTAGGTCAGGAACTACTTGTGCCACGTGTGTTGATGTTGCTCTTTGGTTCGGATCAGTTTCCCAACAGGTGAGGGTTCTGTTTTCCACTGTCCCCAATTACAAAGTGATTTAACTGCTTGGAATAACCCAGTTCCAAGTAGAGTATAAAATAGAGAGCTAAGGTGTTCTCAGCAAGGCTGATAGTGTTTTTTTTAAAATGATCTTTGCTATAGTGTACATGCTCTTACCAGAGAGACAGAATGTGAGAAATCACCCCTAGGGGGCTGACCACACCATAATCCTTTCTCTATTCTCAGATTTTGGTCACGCATGCACATGTGCCTAGAGTGAGTTTCAAGCTGCAGGTCTGGGACTCAGTCCATGGTCGACTGCGTGGGAGTCCAGCAGTTTAACATGCCATCTGCCGGTCCCAAGCAGAGTTACTTTGCCACAACAGAAACTTTCTTTTGACCAGAGAGATAGGGAAAGCAAGTAACGAAGCGGCCAGGCCTGGGACTCAAGTCAGACATGTGAGTCCAGTGCCCTTAACCACCATGCCACCTGCCAGCCCGATTATACTTACATTTGTGAGTTTCTATTTTTACATTGACCAGATACTATCTAGAGGCTACCTTTTGTGCATATGTGATAGACAAAGCATTCACCAGAGAGGGAAAGTGAGAAATCACCCCCAAGACTTTGGGCAGGTACACACACAGGTTCCTGGTGTGTTTCTCAAACCGGTTCAGGACTCAACTAGAATCCAGCTGCCTTAACCACTGAGCCACTGACTGGCCCCAGAAATTTCTCTCAAGGAATGCTTATTATAACTAAGAACATGAACATTATGTCTTTCCATGGCCAGTCATCCTGCCCAGCCTCCTGGCTAGCTAGAACATGGTCACCACTGTACGGCCTGGCACAGGTCAGGGATCATACACAGGCTTCTCAGACAGTCTTGGCCTGTACTCTTGCACATGGGCTGCAGTTGTGTTCTTCAGAAGCAACCTGTCTCCCAACTGGGTAACTTAAAATTTAGTTAAGTTTACTTGTGTGGTCCTCTTTCAGGACTTGTCACTATCCCCATTTGCTGGAAGGACAATTTCACATAAAGGTTAAGTGTTTTTACACCACAAGTACAATGCACAGTTTAAGGTGTAAGACCCAGATTGTCTAGGTCAAAGTATTTTAACTGCTTGGTCTGGCACTCGATTTTACATCCACCTAGTGATGGACTTGGGATGACCATCTCAACCAGTTCCCATTCTCTGAACAAGTGGTACTTGGCCAAAATCGAATTGCTGATAGTCTATCTTGTTTTCTTTTTAGGAAGTTTCTCAGCTATGGAGTCTCTACTGGGCCCCTTGAAAAACTGACCACTTGTTCTCCTGGAAGTGAAGCTCTTCTGGCTGAACTAGTACCTCAGTGCTATTGTGTTTACCGCCTTAAGTTTGGGAGACTGCCTTATTGCTTTGTTAGACCTTGGTAAAATTTCTAACTACATTGCCTTTGTAACCATGTAGCCTTTACCTGGGAAAGAATAAAGTTCTTTAAATCAGACTGCTCACATACTTGGCTGTTGGAGATTAGCAGCTTAGTAGCTACCAGGTGTCTAGAAGTTTCTTTTGGGTTGCTTGATGGTGGGGGAAATTGAATAGTGGGCAGTTTCTGTGGCTAGGGCATGCATTCCACTTGTATTAGGTGCCGGTAGTTGGATTCTGTTAGAAATGGGCAGACAGGCAGACAAAGTATGGATTCAGAGGGTCAGTAGAAAGATCTTGGCACAGTTGTAAAGTTTTTGATGATTAATCACATAATGTACCAGAATACATCAGTTGCCAAGACAAACATTTCTGGCTTTACCTTCCTAAACACTCCTGATCATTTTAATATACAGTATTTTTTTAAATTATTAATTTTTATTTTATTTTTTTAATTGTTTTTTTAACTCGGAAAAGATGGGATTTCTATCTAAAATGGCTTCTGATACTAACTCATAACTGCTGGACCTCTTGTCACTTGTCATAGGAAGTCATGTGACTTGGAAACGTTGTCTCTGCTTGCTCACTTTGAAACAAACTGCTGTTAGAGGCTGGTCTGGCAAGGCTCTGAGGAGCCTCCAGGAACAACCCTGTTAGCAGGATTCCTGGTGCAGGCTTGGAGTAACTGCAGCCACAGCTGATTCCTGAAACCCTTAAATGGGACTGGCTTAAGCTGGCAGGATTTTTGACATAAAAATAAATGATGGGTATTTCAAACCACTAAACTGGGATTGTTACCAAGAGTTGTATAATCAGACCCCTCTGCAGTGTGAAGAGCATTGACTATCAGCTGGTTTCTTGCCCTTCTGTTCAAGGCTGTCAGGCCCCCACTAACAGGCTCATTCAACTTGCCATACCCAAACTGACCCATCTCCCTTGGGCTCTGCTACAGCCTACCTCCCATAATCTCCATCTCTATGCCCCATGTGAAACCCTCATTCTACTGGGTATACTTTGAGGGTGTCTTAAGGTTTTGCCTTAGGGCGTGTTCACTCGGAGTCACTCCCTCATGGCTACAGTGGCTTTCAGTCTCAGGATTTGGGGCCCTCAAACGTGCCTTGTGTGAGTCCAACACCTTTACCATCACACCACATGCTGATACTGGTCTTGCACTGTTGTCTATGATCTAGTGGCCAAATGCTGCCAGAACAATCTGAAAATCAAACACGTGGGACTGGCAGGTGGTGTGGTTAAGAGCGCTGGACACCCACTTGGCTGAACTCGAGGTTCGAGTCCTGGACCTGGTGGCTTATGTTCTCACTTTACCTCTCTGTCCCTCTTTGGTCAAATTTAAATAAAGTTAAATGATTCTTAAAAACAAAAAGCCAAATGTTAATGTTACTGTCCCTGCTCAGCTCTCCAATTTCTCCCCACTGCTCAGAATCAAAGCAGAGGTCCATCAGGCCCTGTGTCTTACCTTCTCTTAAGCTCTGACCTCTACTCCTTTCTGTTTTCTTTCTGTCTGAATCAGCCACACAGACTGAGCTGTTCTCCACTTCAAGATTGCTCCTACCTCAGGATCTTTGCACATGTGGTTACCTCCACCTGGACTGTCAAGCTGTAGCCCTAGAGCTTTGGATTTTTTGGTTCTCTCCCTTTGTTATGTACTTGAATGTCACCTCTGGGGACCTATCTTAAAGTACTTGTCCATTCCTTTACCTTAAGTTTTTCTTCATAGTACTCTTCATTGCCTAATACTGTCTGTGTACATTGTTTATGTATGTGCATGCCATGTGTGTACAGCAGATAGGCATCTCCATGGCATTCTTGCATATCTGTTCTGCCATGGAGTATTAAACATGGCTCCATATGGGCAGCAGCTCTCCCAGTGCCACTTCCACAGCATGTGGCACAGTACCTGGCACGTGGTAGGGCACTCTGAAGAGTTGGCAAACGAAGGAATGAATAAGGGAGCTGGGTGGTGGCGCAGTGGTAAAGTGATACTCTGCAAGCTGGCCCACTAGGGTTTGCAAACCTCCCCAACACACCAGCCACTCTTGGGGCCGTGGTCCGAGGCTGGCCCACTGAATAGCATCCACTCTTTCAGGCCAGCATGCTTTCTAGAGCCTCACTATCTTCCTTACAGCCCCTTCCCCACCCCCTTTTTAAAAAAGATGGTGCCTTGGGGCCGGCAGGTGGCGTGGTTGTTAAAAGTGCTAGATTCCCACGTGGCCAACCATGGTCTGAGTCCCAGACCTGGCGGCTTGCTTTCTCACTTTCTCTCTCTCTGGTCAAATTGAAATAAACAAATGAATAAAGTTAAATGAAAAAATTTTTAAAAATAGGTGCCTCCCTGCTGGGAGCACAGGTACATATCATCATGCCCAGCTCTTCTTTATTTTTAAAAATAGTTTTTAAATTTTACTTGGCATTATTATTATTTTAATTTGTTGTAGGTCCTGTGTGTTCCAGAGAGAGACAGAAAGAGCAAGTCTCTAGGTCTGGGACTCAAACACAGCTGGCCACGTGGGAGAACTGCACCTTGACCATGCCACCTGCTGGCCCCACTGGCTCTTTTTAAAACGGGGTCTCTGCTGTCCAGCCTAGCCTTGAGCACAATATCTGCCTGTCCCAGCCTCCGTAGGTTGTACCCAGTACCATGTCTGACCTGTAGGCTACACCAGGAATCGAAATGGGCTGGTCACGGTGTCCCACCTGGGAGCACAGCATCTCAGCAGTGCATGCCACTCCAAGTGGGTGGCCACTTTCATATTTACTGTAACTGCCTTTCTAGTTAACAGTGGCTTACATTTATACTATTGACCCCCTCCTATGTGTTCACAGCTTTTCATGTGTACTAACACATTTTTTCCCAGTGGCCCAGTGAGGCAGGCTGTCGTACTAACCCTATGGGACAGTGGAAGGAACAGAACTGAGAGGTGCAGTGACTTACCTAAAGTCACACAGCTGGTAAGTGGGAGAGCAGGACTCTGAACCCTGTCAGTCTGGCTCGTGTCTGTAACTCGCAGCTTAATTGTGGCATGTTACTTGGATGCATCATAACAGATCCACAAAGAAGCCCATCTGGGGCTCTTGAAAGTTCGTGTGATTTAGCTGCGCTTTCCTGTTGAGACATCATGAGGTCGGGGCAGTACCAAACGCCTGCCAGCCAGGGCTCCCGGCCACCCAGCGTCTCTTGACTTTGCTGTTACTTCCTTGAGCTTCAAGGGCCCCTGGCAGTCAAAAGCTTGGCAACCGTCTCCCAGCTTCGACTCCACCACGGTCCCACCAAACATCTGATGCTTCAGCCTCTTCCTGCCTCCCCATCCTGTTTGCCTGGGGGGTGTTGGCCAAATTACCTCTCTATAAGCTTCTGTTTCCTTGTCTGTGAATCGGGATTCATAACAATGCCTAATTCGGGGAACCAGCAGTTAGCGTAATGGCTGTGTCGCTGGACTCCCACGTAGTCGACCGCGGTTCGAGTCCCGGACCCGGTGACTTAAAACTCAAAACGCGTGTGCATATGTGCCCAAGATCCCGAGAGGAGAATGGAGGAGAAGGGATTGCGGCATGGCCATCCCCCCTGGGGGGTGATTTCTCGCTTTCTGTCTCTCTGTCTCTGTCTGTCAGGTGAACACACGCGCCCTATAGTGAAAAACCTCTCCAAAAAAAAAGCTCAAAACCCCCCCAAAAACAATGCCTAATTCGGAGTTGTGATGTTCAGTAACATCTTGTCTGTAAGGTGCCCAGGGAGGGACCAGCAAATGGTGTAATGGCTATGACACTGGACTCCCATGTAGTTGACTGTGGTTCGAGTCCTGGACCCAGTGACTAAAACTCACACCTGGCACTTGTGTGTGTGTGCCCAAGATCCCAAGAGGAGAATGGAGGAGAAGGGATTGTGACGTGGCCATCCCCCTTCTTTCTCTGTCTTGTGAACACACGCACCCTATAGCAAAAACCTTTCAAAAAAAAAAAAAAAAAGTGCCCAGGGATATAGTGTACTGGCATATAGGCAAGGTCTTCAGAAAGTTTATAGATGTGGCCAGTATGTGGCCTGTTGTTAGGGCACCAGGTTTCCACATGGTTGACCATAGAGATTGAGTCCCAGACCCAGAAGCTTAAAAAATATACTGGGTAGTAGGGCTAGCAGGTGGCAGGGTGGTTAAGGGCGCTGGAAAGTTAAATAATTATTTAAAAAAAATACGCTGCGTGGGGGCAGTGGGTAGCGTGGTGGTCGAGGTACTGAACTCCCACATGGCTGACCACGGTTCAAGTCCTGGACCTGGCAGCTTACTTTCACACTTTTCTTTTTTGCTCTGGTCAAATTACAAAATAACAATAATAAATAAAATAAAATAAATAATTATTTCAAATAAGAAAGAGATAGAAATACTCCAGGGACCAGCAGTTAGTGTAATGGTTATGTTGCTGGACTGCCATGTAGTCGACAGCGGTTTGAGTCCCGGACTCAGTGGCTTAAAATCACACCGGGGCGCATGTGCGTGTGCGTGCCCAAGATCCCAAGAGGAGAATGGAGGAGAAGGGATTGCGGCGTGGCCATCCCCCGGGGGGGTGATTTCTCGCTTTCTGTCTCTCTGTCTCTGTCTTTCTGGCAAGCACACGTGCCCTATAGCAAACTCTCCAGAAAAAAGAGAGAGAGAGAGAGAAATACTCTGGACACTTGACTGTATGTTCTCAAAATCTGAGAGGGAAAGGTGGAGAAAAAGAATTATGACATGACAATCCAACATGGGTGGTAGTTTTTCACATCTTCACCCAATGTTTCTCTCTGGCCAGCCCATATGCCCTCTGGAAAAATTTAAAAAAAAAAAGTTCATGGAAAAAATGTGTAATACGGAAAAACCATGCAAGGATTTCAAAATTTTTTACACATCAAGCTAAAACTGTACTTTAATTCTATTTTTCTATTAAAGTTATTTTCCCCTTATTCATGATAAAGCGGAAGCACATACATATGAAAGTAAGAGCGAGAGGAGCTCCCTCTGCAGGGTCTGGTCCTGCTACAAGCCCTTCCTCTAGTCCTGCAGCCTATCAGACCTTGGGTGCTTGCATGTG